ATCTGTATTCCTTTAAGTCTACTTCATAGGAGTTTATCCTAGGAAGTAAGTAATATGGTTGCATCTCAGCAAGCTCTACTAGCTTCAACTTGGTTCTCTGTCATTACTGACTGTAACATCTCTTCTCATACACTATTATCAGTGCATTGCTTCTTTAACTAAGCATTCTACCTTACTTAAACAAGTAATTTGCTTAACCTTTTACCACTAAATGACTCAATTCACCATCCTAATTTTGTATGTTAAAGTCGGCTTAACACACTATGGAACTTCCATAAGAATGTGATAGAAATAAATCCTCACTCAGTATAAATAAATACTAATTCTGAATATCATGTATAGTGTTACTACTTGAACTACTTACTACATCAAAAAGTATTGGCCTATTGAGTCTGAAAACTTCATTAGCCTTTCTTTTGATCTTCATTTAATTCTTCTAAATCATGCACAACATTAATTGTGATACTGCCGAAGTACTGATCACCACGTTCGGTTCTTTCGACTCTATTAAACAATCACTTCTTCAATCTGTATAGCGGTGGAACAACTTCGTGGATTTGCACCAACACATTTATCTCGCCCAAACATGTTTCAAACACACATCTTTCTTACAAAGATGTTATTATATCATCAAACATACTTTATTTGTATAATACCACTCTATTGGTATTAATACACTATTTACGATAACAATTCATATTTATTATTTTACGATATACCCTGATCGTTTATTTATAAACTTATCGATGTCAGACCTTAAACTTTCTCAAATAATAGCAATATTTGTATGAAACCTAAAGCATTCTATATTTACTTATTATAGCACATAATAAAATGTAAGGCATATATCCTATTTATATTCTAGTGTTTGTCCTCATTTAGGTATTCAACCTAAAGTATACCAGATACATATTGTATCATCTTCACTTAACAATTCATGTTTAAGTCTAGATATTCTAAAAATTCCTAGTTCACTTAAACTAATTCTTTGAAAATTTTGAAGTAACTTAATATCTTAGAATACTAAGGTTTATCACTACCCAATACCCTACTTAAGTATTTCCTATGGTTTGTATCCATATGTTCCTAATGAATCCATTCATATATTGAACTTCCAATGGTTTAAGTCTAAATACCAATCTGTGGCATTTAGTTTACTTAAACTATTGCTTTGATACCATGATTGAAAGACCCTCACTTTTGTATTACTGAAAGACCCAAACTTTCTTACTTGACAATATAGTTACTTCAAAACATACTACTTGCATATTCATAAAAACAATATCTTAATTGATGAAGGGATTACAAATGACTGAATACAAACCGACTATTACAAAGTATTATATATATTACACAACTACCCAGGATACTATACATTTTTACATACATGATCCGCAAATACAAAAGTAATATTACAACTATTCTAAACCTTCCGACAATATATGACTATCTGGTTACTTATCTCTTGCAAATTTGTTTAAATATTGAGAGGGTAAACGGTGACGCTTAGTGAGTTCAATAATAGATACAATATAACGTTATGCCATATATATATACTTCAATATGGCAGAAGCAAAGAGAAACAAGGAACAACAAAGGCATATGTGAATCATGTGTTAAGCTTTCAATATCAACTCAATATTTGATTCAAAGATTTACGATTAATGAGACTTAATGATTTCAATACTTAATATACTTCAATAAAACATCGGCCCAAATGGCACAAAAGAGATACAAATTTCTTATTATCATTCTGCTAGATTTTAGGTTTTTACACCTTGTTTATCATTTCGGTAGATTTCAAGTTTTCATGCTCTATTTAACATTTCGGTAGATTTCAGGTTTTCATGCTCTGTTTAATCCTTTACCAATGCCATTTAAATAGAAGCCATTCACTTACGTGGGACATGCTTTACATGGCTAGAGGCTTCGTACCATTACCAATGTGAATCTAAGTCTTTTTCACTGATCACATAGTCAAAGGTATTACTTTTGCTATCAAAATAGAAGAATAAAAATAACACGGAAAAATAACTCGGAATAATAACATTGAGAAACACATAGCACATATAACACATCACCTACAATTGTTCCTATATATTAAACTGACCTTGAATTAACCGGGGGTCAAATAGTAATTTGGTCAACACTTCGGCTTTAAATATGATTTTCTATGTTGAAAATCGGGAGGTTTATTGAAAACCGGGCTCTACTAAGGTAGGGCTTCAAAACCGAAAAGATAAATTTTTTGAGCTTCACAACCACTTCGGGGCGTGTTTCGAGTGTGTGTAAAACCAACTAGTTTTAATCCTACTAACTTAATCACAAAGACAAACACACGAAAGGCAGTGTACCTATCGATTAACAGTTTAGTTCAGGTAAGTAGGGTATCGAACACAGGGAACGGTAAACAATTAAAATAGATGCTAATATTATCTAAATAAAACAAGTAATAGAAAGAGTTTTCTCTAGTTTTGCAAGACTAGAAACTTAAACAATTAACTAAAACTTAAACTAAGAAACTAAGAGCTAAACAAATAAAAATCAACTAAATTCAATAATAAAGAGGACTTCTATTTAGGTTCGACTCATTTGTTCCCATGGATGATTTCGATGTATCGGATTAATTCTTCATTAGCTACCGACTAAGATGATTAGTTCCACGTTCGCTATTACTAATCCTTAGGAAACAAATTAACTCAAGCAGTGGCCAGTTGTCTAAATCAACAGATTTCCTAGTTATTGATTCGGGTTAAATAAGACTTGTAATAGTTAATCCAATTGGTGATTCAATTAACCTCTTGTTGATGGTGTATCACACAAGCTCACACATTAACTTACCTATCTTCAAGTTAATTCTAGTTTCACATTCGTTATTCCTAGACATACAACTATGTGGTCACGTAAATCATATGAAATTAGCAACTAAGAGATGTTCATACAACTTAATTACTAATTTATTAACAGAAGAATAGTTATTGTTAACACATAAGGTTCTTTAACAAGCTTAATAAAACATAATCACCAATTAAAATTAATCCTAATCAAATAATCAATCCATGTTCACAAATTCATCTACCTAAACAGAAGTTATGAGTTTTTAGCTCATGATTACAGCAGAAACAAGCACAAAAACGAAATCAATTGGTAAAAACATATTTCAAACAAGAGATTAGGTAAGAGTAAACTTGATTTTGACTTGATTCTCCTTAAAATTGAATGTAGGGTTGATTCCCTTGCTTCCCACGCTCTAGCAGCACCTTTAGTCGACAATTAGCCTCCAAGGGTTTATCTATATGCTAGGGTATCGATCTGAAAGTTCCTTTATATAGATTTTCACAAAACAGAGGCTACTCGGCGAGTCCAGTGACCTACTCGGCGAGGTCATCACTTAAAACCTGTGTACGGTAAGTCAGCGCGTCCAGAACCGCAAAATTTCTGACCAACTCGGCGAGTAATCGACCCTACTCACCAAGTACGTTTCGAATCAGCATTTTCTCAAAACACGAAAGTCGTCCGAAATTGTGTCTACATTTCAGAACATTTTGAATCTCATCAATCGGAGTTACGGTTCATGAGATATGGCCAAAACACTGACGAGGGGTCAAGCTGTCCAGCAACATCCTTCTTTCTTCAAAATCCAAGATCCAAGCTTCCAATAGCTAGTTCCTCTTCATTTTCCTTTCGAGCATGTCTTTGTTGCTGAAAATGAAATATTTAATCGAATTAAGCACCTTTTGTTCATTAAATGAGACAAAATCAACATAAAGTATTAAGATCATGCATGGATTTTATAACTAAATATGCCCATATCATTTCCTGAAGTTTCGAAGCATCCATGTCTTTGAGAATATTTGCAACTTGAATCAGACATTCAAGTGTATTAGAGGAAAATCAACAATCGAAAACTCAAGAGCAACATTGTTTTCCCTCACAACATGGTATCGAAAATTTTGTAGCATGTTCTCGAACAACACATCCTTTGTTATACTTAGCACTCGGACAATCTTCACAAGTGATCATAGCTCTTCTTGATCCTTTCCCAACACAGCGTGAAATCTTAGCTTCATATGGATAAATTCATCTTTATTCTTAAATTGATCAACAATCTTGTAGTGGGCTGTGAGAAACATCATTTTATTAACAGGAAAATCGAGTTGATTCATGTTAGAATTCTCGATGGCATAACTTTTCCTAGGCTTCTTCTCGAACTCATACATCTCATTGTAAGCAACTCTCGCTTCGATATTTTCATAACTATGCAACTTTCTTATATCTCATTTGTTCAAAGTAGGAGGATCTTTTTGTCGAAGCCTCAAAATACTTTGAATTTGTAGTTGCTTCTCTATTTGTGCATCTATCTCAGCCTTTCTTTCTTCATTTTACTTCTCAATTACAACCCCTTTTCCTCTATCTTGATTTTTTGTAGTTTGCTTGGGTTTCAAAGAACTCCCTTCACCAGTTGACCGAATTACAATGCCTTTAGCAATTTCCTTTGTCGTTGTGAGTTGTGATAGTAGCTATCACTGGTTCAACCTTTGAAATTGTTGGTTTCGAAATTGTTGATTTTGGTGTAGCAGTATGATTTGTAAAAAATCTTTCCAACAACCTTTACTTCTTCATTAGATTTCCTAGAGGCACCTTCTCCTTTACCAACAGTTCTTTCACCCCCTTGCACCCCTACGACAGTAGGTGGGGCATTTGTTGGTAAGAGACTTATCAGCTGAGACAGTGGGGCTAACTCCTTCTGAATAGTAGTTTCAAAACAAGCGAAACTTCTGAGTTAAGAACTCAGGAGTTAAAAGAGATGAAGATCTTGAATTTGAAACCATTTCTTTGAGTTCATGAAGTATAGCATCAAGCATCCCAAAATTGCTAAGATCATCAATTGCTTTTTTATCAAACTTGAGAAGTAGAGATTGATACCATTCCACCACTTTCGTTACAACTCCTGCAACACTGTCTACTTTCGAAAGTAGAGAAGAGTAGTTAGTACTCAACTAATTGATCTCTTTGGCCACATCAAACTTCAATTCTTCCAACTTTCTATTCACATCTTCTCTGATTGTCTTGACATCCTTAACAAATAGAACATGCCTTTCCTTCGCAACCATCCGTAGCTCCGTGATTTCATTATTGAACGTATCAGACTGAGCTTTGATATGAAGTTCATCATGCTTATCCAAAGTATCCAGCTTATGTTGAAGTCGAAGCTCCTGAGCCATGAGCATGACATCGACTTCAATTCCAGATACTGAGTGTTTACTGCCATCATCTGCTTGTGATTGTAACAAAGAGTTGAGCTTTCATTGAGGATCTTGAAATGTTTCCCCAATATAAGCATGTGGTCTGGTATGTCTTCTTCCTCAGGATCGAATTTGAGATCAACAAATGAGCGTCTAAATCATCCATCAGCAGTGTCATCATCGTTTACAGGTTTTGGTGGATTAGTGGATTGACATAGGAAAGAGAAGTGTTGGGTTGATTCATAACTTGATCAAAAGTTGGTGAATGTATGGTTGTAGAAACAATAGTTACAAACGGTGGTAAATAAGTATTGGTAGAGGTTTCGAAAATACCTTGAGTAGACATTGGGTGTAGAAATAAGTGTGTAGAAATTCCTAAGGTTCAACCTCCTCATGAAATGACATGGTTATTGAAACCTCGAGTGGTATGAATGAAGTCTGCTTAGGAGTCGATATTTTAGTTGAATCACCAAGAATAGTAGTTGTGTCCATGGTAGAAGTTTTCACAGAGCTACTAGAAATTCCTATCTCCTCGAAAGTCCACTTGATAGGAGACTTCTTGTAACACCCCGTTCTTTAAGTGTTTAATTATGAGTCCCTGAGATTCAAGAGGAAGGGTAAATCTGGTCCTTTTACGAGAAATGAGTGTCATCCGAGAAGGTTTCGGGTTGGTGTATGTGTTAAAAGCATTGGGCTTCTCGTCACCCCCGTATGAATGTAAAGTTATTTGGGAGCGGGTTTAGATTAGAGCAGTTGCGGTGTTTTGAAGTTGATCATTGTTTATAGCTCTTTGTGGTATAAGTGGAAAAAGGGTCCCATGCATGCATGCAATTATTTTTGGAGTCTGGCTGGGTACGCCCAGCGTAAAGGGGCGAGAAGCTGCGGGTGGCCGGGTGAGTACGCCCAACGTACCAGGGAGGTACGCCCAGAGTACTCTCAGAAACTCCAAACCCTAATTTAGGGTCATCCACTATATAAGGAACATGTTGGTTCACCCCTTAGCCTCCTTATAATCATCCTTAACCTCAAAAAACCCTAGAAGGCCCGTATTCCTCCATTGTTGGGTGTGTTTGACCTTGGAAAGCTCATTTTAGCAAAAGAAAGGCTTGAAGGAGAAAAGAGAAGTTGTCAAAGAAGAAGAGGAACGATTGGAGCTTGTAGATTTGAAGAGATAGCATCCTTTGGAGCTTGTTTGAGGTATAAAGCTTCTTGCTTGACATTCATATTGTGTAGATCTATGTATTTTAAAGCTTTGACATCATTCTTGTCCCAAAAGTCCTCACGTTGTTGCATATTTCAAGCTGGTCAAGATTATCTGTCCTTTTAGACCTTTGGAGAGGTCTTGAGTGATAAAAATGAGGTCCCAAGGCCTGTAGTTGTTCCATGTTTGAGATATATAGGTCTTAATGGATTAAGACCTTGGATTAAGACCTTATGGACGTTGCAAGTGATAAAGTCTGAGACATTATGAATTCTAATCATATATGGCCCAGGGATGTGAAGTTTGGGCTTAAGAGCTTAAGCCATTAAGAGGTTAGAAGGACTTAATGAGTATTGCAGTTACGCCTCGCGTAACCCTTGATTACGCCCCACGCAGCGGGCCAAATCCCCGATCCTCAGTCGCGTTTCAGTGAGTATGCCCCATGTACCAAGGAGGGTACGCCCAACATACTCCTTATATTGGACTTTCATTTTGGGCTTTTAAGTTTGGGCCGTTGGTGGGCAGTTGGTTATTGGGCCAAGTCTGGGAATTTATGGATAGAGTATTTTGGGCCCAATTATTGTTATGGACATTGGTTCTAGGCCTATTTGGTGAAGTGGGCCCAATTTGGTAAATTGGGCCAATATTGGACTTTGTATGAGATTTGGACCTTGGTCTTGGACCGATAAGTGAATATATGATTGGCCTAATGTTTATTTTGTTATGATGGTTAGTTCGGGATTAGCGGTGAGTTGGTGATTCGAGAGTCTGCTTCTTCAGTTCAGAGTATCGGCATTCACGAGGTGAGTTATCCTCACTATATCGACAGGGTCTAAGGCACCAAGGCTGGCCCTTTATAGGATTGAGATTCGGATATTGTTGTTATGTTATTGCTTTGATATGTTTGCATCCTAGTAGCTAGGATGGTATATGCTAGTGACCGGTTAGGTTAGTATCCTGGTTAGGGTAATGATATGTTATGTGATCTGCTTGATCGGCTTGTTGACTATGACCTGTTATATGATTGTATGTTATGTGCACATGGTTGTTTGGACTAGAGTTGGGTTGAGGCGGGTCCTGCTTTGTGCTGTAGGCCAAGATATCCAGGGCGGACCGGTTGTTCCGAAGGCCCAGCGAGCGGTCCGGATAGGCTGTAGGCCCCACGAGGACGGACTAAAAGTGCCGAGGCTCAGAGAGTGGACAAGGCCGACTGAAGGCCCGATGTGGGCGGACCAGTCATACTGTAGATTTAGAGAGTGGACCAGGTGGGTTAAACGCCCGGTGCGGGCAGACCAACCACACTGTAGACTCGAAGGACATGACTAGACACGGAGGGTGGACTGAAGGCCGATACGGCGGACCAGTCACACAGTAGCCCCGAAATGCATGGCTGTTCTATGTTCTGTTATGTTATGTATGCTATTTATGTTATGGGCTGAAAGGCAATATGTTATGGGCCGGAAGGCAATATGTTTTGGACTGGAAGGTCGTAGCCTGGAAGGGTGTATATATGGTTGGTATTTTGGGGGTATCTTACTAAGCTTTCGGGCTTACAGTTGTGGTTTAAATGTTTTTCAGGTTCTTCAGGAGACCGTGCCAAGGCGACGGCGTGATCGTACCGCTCCTTGTGTTTATGTTTATGACATGGTTCTGGGAATACTCTGATAATAAATGTATTGAAAACCTTTTTGTAATAACATTATTAAAATGGGTTGTTTTTGAAAAGTTTAAATTGTGTTGAAACTTTTGGTCGTTACAAGTTGGTATGAGAGCGTTGGTTTGAGTCAATTGGAGGAACATTCGTGTGAATCCAGTCTCAAAACAAGGAGGGTTTTCAAAAAGAGAATTTCAAATGGTTTTCAAAATAAGTAAAAAGAGGACGCGAAGGTACGATCAGCCGGAGCCAGTAAGTAACCCCAAAATACCATACATGATATTTGTTTTCGAGCTTTAATAGAACAACATGCTAGTACTAGGCTAGCGATCTTCAGGATTTCACGATAATGTTGCCTGTTTTATGATGCCTGCTAGCCTAGGGTTTCCCTCTGTATGAGATTTCTAGCATTCCTCTAGGAGTGAGGATTGAGCGTTTGCTATGTATATTTGTCACTAGGGTGTTTTGGTAGTACTTCATACAAATATGGGTAGGTGTGGAAGGTAGTATGGGACCGTACTACTGAAAGCATAGAACCCATACGCGTATCAGGGAAACCATGACCTCTAGGGTTGGGTTGAGAGTTGGTTCCCGGGATAGTGGGAAGTGTCTGAGATTTTGTGGTTTATTTTCAGTATGGAGATTTCGAGGCATGCTGGGAGTGGATCCGGGTCAGGATCGGGAGCAGGAAAGGGAGCTCCGGGCGGGTCAGTACCGCCCGTGGTTATCGGACATATGAGTACGTGCGAGTTGGATGCGAGGATTTGTGAGATCCTGCATGATGAGGTTGCTGCGTTGTTCCGGGCCGAGCTGCCGGGACTGTTTGGGTCGATCAAGACCACCATGGTGGAGTATTTTGATGAGCGTAATGCGGCTCTCACTGAGACGGCTGCTGCGGCGGCTACAACGGCTGTAGCAGCTGCAGGAGGAGGAGCTAGTAGAGGTTTTTAGTATCGGGACTTCGATAATACGAAGCCTCCCACCTTTGATGGAGTTCAGGACCCGATCGTTGCTATGAGATGGTTATCGGACGTGGAGGGATGTTTCTTCACGTGTTCATGCCCTGCTGATCAGAAGGTGAGGTGTGCTCTGAACCTGTTAAGGCTCGGGACAGAGGATTGGTGGAGACTGACCACAGGGTCATACTTAGATGCGCAGAGGGCTGTGGTTTCATGGGATCAGTTCAGAGAGATGTTCATCACTCGTTATGTTCTGCAGGTCGAGAAGGAGAGGTTGGCTCAGGAGTTCCTTGAGCTGAAGCAGGATTCGGAGTCGGTGATGGAAATCACCAGGATGTTTACTGTGAGGGCGATGTTTTACCCTGAGTTCGCTTCGGAGCAGGCTCAGATGTCCCGATATCTGAGTATGCTAAAGAGAGATATCAGACAGTTTGTGTCCGCGCAGAGGTGCAAGACTTTGTTGGAGTTGCAGGAGGCCGCCAGGCGGTGTCAGTTAGAGATTGAGTTGCAGTTGTGTGAGCTGAGGCAAGCTCCGGTGCAGTTGCAGCCGGTGACGAAACGGTCTAAGACCGTTGATTCCAGGATGGGAGATCAGGGCAGCCACGTTTGTGGGAAGTGTAGGAGGGGTCACATCGGAGTTTGTCGGTCCGATGGTGCACACCGCAAGTTCAGAAAGAAGGGGAACTATGCGAGGGATTGTCGGCAGTCAGTGCCGGTTCGGGATTTGAGAATTTGTTATCATTTTCATCAGGTTCGGCACTTGAGGGTCAACTGCCCACAACTTGTTGCAGGACCGGTGTAGGCTCCAGCACCGACCACTTTGAGGATCACAGGTGGAGGCCAGGGTGGAGCGAAGCCCCCAAGGGCTCAGGGTCGTGCTTTTCAGCTTTCAGCAGAGGAGGTCAGAGCAGTGCTGGATGCAGCTGCGGGTATGTTCCTTTCTTGATATCTTGTTATCTTGTGATTATTGTGGTGTATTATTATCTGCTAGTCTCATTGTGTGGTTTTTCGTTCTGGTATCCGTTGTTCCTTGAGGGTTGGTATGGTTATGGGTTTTCGTTGGTTATCATTCATGAGGGTTATTAGTGGATACGGCGTTGGTTTGAATGTCGGGTATCATCTACAGTCTGAGTAGTGGATAGTTGAAGATTGAGTTCCTTTCGAGCGGGATGATCAGTGTGGAAATGTGTTTTTGCGGAGGTTGCTAGTGCTAGTGGGAATCAGTCCGCGTGTAAGTGATGGGTTTTATGGAAGGTTGTTTTGGGAGGTCGGTGATAGCAACCGGTGGTTGATAGTCAGTGCCCTAAGTAGGGGAGAATTGGAAATTCTCCGGATGGTCGATAGACTTGAGAGATTGTTTAGCTGCTTGGGATTCAACAGTATTTCTGTCGGCCGAGAGCAGGCTGGTGTGGGTGAGTAGCAGGTGAGCGGGGAGGGATACAGACCTATGGCATTGATTGTGGAAGACCTGGGATCAGGCTGGGATCAAGTATGTATGATGGAGATAGAGTTCGAAACCCTTAGAGGGCTAG